CCCCTGTAGTTATCACACTTGCTGAGATCGCCTTTCTTCGGTATTTTGATCAGAAGTCCTTCTTTCCAGTCTGTTGGTACTTGTTCCTCATCCCAAATCTTATTGAAGAGAATGTGGAGTATCCTTGCAGTTGCCGCTACGTCTGCTTTTAGTGCCTCTGCTGGGATGTTGTCCGGTCCTTCTGCTTTGCCACTCTTGATTTGTCTGATGGCCATGCTGATTTCTTCAATTGTTGGTGGGCCAACATTTATTGGGAGGTCCGCGGGTGCTTCTTTGTTGTTGGGTGGGTTCAGTGGAGCTGGTCGATTCAAGAGTTCTTTGAAGTGTTCTACTCACCTGTTTTTTTGCTCTTCAATGTTGGTGATTACCTCGCCTTCCTTGCTTTTCACTGGTCGTTCTGGTTTGCAGAGAGTTTCTTTGTCGTGTCATACAATTGTCTCATGTTTCCTTCTCTTGCAGCCTTTTCCGCCGTCGTTGCTAAATCTTCCACATATTTACGTTTGTCGGTTCTGATGCTCCTCTTCACTTGTTTGTTAACTTCTGTGTATTCAGCTTGTGCCTTGGCTTTTTCTGCTCTTGTTCGACTGGTATTGATTGCTGCCTTCTTGTTCCTTCTTTCTTGAATCTTATCCAGTGTATCAACCGTGATCCATTCCTTGTGATGGTGCTTCTTGTGACCCAGGACCTCATGACATGTTGAAGTGATTGCCTCTTTGATCCCCTTCCAGTTGCTCTCCACAGTAGTTCCTTCTCCATTGAGTAGATCATAAAAGGCCTGGAACCTGTTGCTGAGGACTATCTTGAATTTGTTGAGTTTGTTAGTATCCTGAAGAAAGGCCGTATTGAACTTTTGTGATATTGTCCGCCCCGTTGTCCAGTGCTTCTTGAGTTTCAAAATGAGTATATATATTTGCGATTGTACAGCTTTGAAAATGAATTCGCCGAAAAGAAAGCTATTCGCTGAACCAATCTTTCTTATTTAACATTCTCAATTGTCTATCAAACGAATTCGTCATATGATTCTCATTTAATCTAATACTCTCCACATATTCAATCATTTAGTTCTGTCAACAGTATTGAACTATTTTTGAGATTGAATAACACTGGAAACTTAGCATGCAATTAGAAACAATTTAGAAAAGTTTTTAGCATGTTAAAGTTTCAGGGTTCTAATCAATAAAAATACTGAGAAACGAACATTTTGTCCAACATAACTAAATGGAAGGTAATCCCAATGAAACACAAACTGATTGACATTAATAGAAAATATGAGTAGAAGAGATATTTTAAGTGAAGTAGATTTATTAATCAAACTTCCAGATATCGGTAGTAAGTTCTTCATTTCAATCGAACAGAAGACGTTGCGCTGGTTTGCCATATTTTGTGTATTTATGATGTGAAGATTCCACGCACCTCCAACCACTAAATCACAACTAATGTTCCAATGTGTTTTTGTCGCCCAATACTAAACAGTTCCATTAGGTAAATGCAGAATTAACCAGAACGATTGGACGATATTTGTAGTAGGTGTTTATTGCCGTACAACGTAAGTGTGGGTGCTCTCATATTTAATCACATGCATCTCCCTTTACTAATCAAATCATACAACGTGATTCACATTCTACATTGTAGCCAGGTTCTTTACTCTTACACTGGAAGTTACTGTATTCAGATTATCGAGTAATTTACTTCAGAATGCAACGCTAACATCCACTTCAATGATTTATGATTCAGTCACTGTGATTAAAAACTGGTCTTCGAATTTCGTCATACTCAGAAGTTACATGGAGTCTAATGTAAGTATCCTCTTTTCATCTTGACTACATTCGGGAATATAGCATAATTAAATTTCATTACCAAATCTTATTGTAGGACAGAATGATAGTCTAGCATATCGACTCCACAATGTAAGGGTTCCATGAATAGATAGATGGAAATGTTGTCATGTGCTCAACAGATTTCAGGTTTGTTCAATAACATTTAAATGAAAACATCACACTTCAATATTAACATAAACCAATAACTAATATTCAGGCACATATTTACTTGATTCGATTGTAAAATCAATGAACTCACTTGGTCACTGTAGATTGGACTCAACGATGAGATCACTTGTTTACACGCTATATCAATGTTCACACTCTGTGGATTATCGGCACCGTATTTCTCCAATAGACGTCTTTTGGCATCTTCAGCCTTTCTTAGATTTCGACATGCCATGATAACTCGAGCACCACGACGAGCCAACTCACCAGCTGTCACTAACCCGATGCCAGTGTTCGATCCAGTGACAATGGCTAACTTCCCATCTAATCGTTTCGAAATACAACATGCTTTGTGCCAAGTCCCAATCGTCTCAGACATTTATCGAACCGATTGTATACTAGTCGTGCGTTATGTGTGAAACTATGTTTACAAATTCGGATGTATTCTCAGTTCAGATCAGAATAGTGTCACAATTTGAGAGACGTGTCTTTAACCAGTCGATTTTCAACAACCTATCCGTATGTAGAATGTTGTAAACTTTGAAAGTGACTATAATAATGTGTCAAGGTAGAGAAAGAAATACGTGATTTCAAAGTTGTCATTTGTTAACTTTCTTCCAATAATGTGAAGGGTAATATGATTTCAATGTGCGGATTGATTGGTGCTAACAGAGAAACAGAGTATGTGAGCACTTAATTAGGTGGCCAGATTCATCAATCGATTTCAGTTCTAGAGTCAATGAGCAATCAGTTGACCATAATACAAGATGGGTATTAGACTTTTATCACTGATATTTTATCATGTCCTGATTTAGAAGATTAAGCACGAATTTTTGCGTCGAAGTTTGATTAAGATGAACTGCACATTCATTGTTCAAATTTTTGAATACAATGAAGTTGATAATCACTTTTTGAGTGAGTTTAGCTTGAATTGTATTACAAATTACATCTCCATAAATCAAACGTGAATGACTTGTTAAGATGTGAAAACCTTACATTAAATCGATTATTTGTACATCTCCTTTTATATGTTTCCCTTACAAAATTCATTGTTCCCTCATTCCTGCAGGAATTCCAATTACTCTCAGTTTACATTCCTGTTGTCTTCAATTTGATCTTCTTATAATCGTCTGCTGTCATGTATTCCACTTCGGATGAGTGTTACGTACTACTTATATATGTCAACCGAATTAGCATATACTACTCTCGTCTCCCATTTAAAAGAAAGTCACAGTTGCCGTGCCACTTCCTTGTTTGCCTCAGTCTGTGCCACGTTGTCCATCGAAACGTTGATTCAGGCAGGTGTATTGACCTCCGTAACAGTGTTGATCTTCTGGGCCATCTACATGTGATGTCCACCCAGTAACCGGATATCTCACTACTTCCCTCCGTCGACTTAGATGGGAATGACCTGAGATGGAAACTTAACAATACAGTATACGTTTTCCTCTCTATTTGTATGTGCTGCTGAAATAGGCACTGTGCAACATTATACTTATTTGTTGTCTAGTGAAACTGTTCCGAAGAGTGCTTTACTCGACAAAACATACTTGGTGTTCGTCGTTGACTTCATTCAGCGTCGATCAGGAATGATGAAATTTAGTTCCACAATTAAGTTTTCTTAACTTCATAGACTCATGATTTCAACATGAACGTTTCTCAAACAACACAATCTCCAAGGTCCACTCTAGATGACTATCCAAAACTTCCGAGCATATTGATATTAACTGATACACTGAGAAATATATGTCCAAATGTTTTGGGATTAGTTCACATCATGATATTTTTGATCAAATCGATCGTTTTTAATTAAACTATGTTAAGTTCAATTTCTACTATAGTTAGTAAAATAAAATGGATTGTAGAATAGACAGTCTGAATTTAATGCAATGAAAATAATCTATACTTCAATCATTGTTCATCGCCGAAGATTCATGATGTAATACTTAGTATAAAACGTCATTTATCAGTTGCGAGATTTATACTGATACTCCTGTTGTGCTATCGGAACCCTTACACTAATACTAAAGACGTTGACACTAAAAGATAAATGAGAGCTTCCGAAGTTCACTAATATTCAATATCTGAAGCAATAATCGAGTTATTCAAGATATCTTCTAGTAACTACTTTGTTTTATATTGATTATAAGAAATGTAACTGACAAAGTGACGGTTTCATTAGTATCTCCATCACTTAATTAAATAAACATTATGATCGTGGACAAATAATGCACTGGGGATCAATCATGTATTGTATGAATGTTTTCACAACGTAGTCTTATTTGTGATGAAACCATTTTGTCAATCTGATAAGGCTGTTTATGAAATGAATTGACATTCGTTGATTAGTTATTGGTTGAATATTCGATAGTAAATCTCTGTTATCACACGCTTACGTGATTTGTTCTAACATTCGAACAGATAGATTAGTTTAATCCTTCTATTTGTTCTATCACCTGTATATATTTGTCCATGCCAGTTACTCACAATTCGGTAAGCTGACCAGCTTCAGACTAGGAGACGCTCATATTTGATGTAAGTGAATTAAATAAACAAAAATACGGTGTGACTTAGTCTCATCTGACAGTGGTTTGACATTTTCATTAAATCGAATTTACAATCAGTCAGAGAATTAAACTACATGGATTATTCATTGGATGGTAGTAACATTCATTACATCGCCCATGTTATGAATGAGTGGATAAATGGATATGGCATGTTGATTTTGTATGAAAGACTAGTTGTTAACGGTCGAACATCTAACAACCTGTGATGCGTTCACATTTCATTTTGATTCTTATACATTACAAAACTCATTTCCTGTTGGTTTGGTTAGTTGAGTAGAATGAAAGAGAGAGAGAGAGAGAGAGAGAGAGAGAGAGAGAGAGAGAGAGAGAAAGAAAGAGTAGACCACAGATGAACCAATGCTTCCTGGTTCATTCTCTAGATGCTAGTGAGTGTTCCACCTATATTTATTGAAACTACTGATATTGATAGATTATTAAGCATATTATATATTCATGTATGTGTATATTTGTTTCATTCATAACTAGCCTTAACATGTCCACTTCAATAATCGGAATTGTTTTATGCATTTTCAACTTTTAAACCAAAATACCAACAAAATCATTAGTTTAGAAATGTGAAATAAACTCTTGATTTTGTCAAAAGTAACAATTGTCTATGTTGTATTTTCGATTCTTAATAGTTCACATGTTTTGTTCCAAAACCATTTTCTTTCATCTTTATTCTTGACAATTGTTAACGGTTCTTTCAATGAACAATTTGAATAGTAACCACCAGAGATTATGTTGTCTGACAACACTGTGTACAATGTAGTTTGTGCTCCTTTCCATGGACCAATAAAGAATGGCTTTATTACTTTAATGAAACATTTCTAAGAAAGAGAATTTTGATAAAAATATGAACAAGATTAATCTCGTGTATTAAATGAATTTGTAAGTATCAACGCCAAGTTTGAACTTAATAATCTGAGATAAATTGAGCATAGAATAGGAAATTATTAATGAACATAATTTTTGTTATATCGGAATTAGATATACAACAAGAAACATATCTATAATCAATTATTAAAGTTATGTATTCAAAATATTCGAATATCAATTTACTGCAATATTATAGAGCAATATTGTGGGAAAGGTCCAGGGGGCTACACAAATGTTGTTACGTGATGAGTAAATGCTAATAAGAAAGAATATTTTGAGTAAAGCTCATTTAATTCCAGGATCGGTTGAAGTTATACATTAACACCGTTGGGTGCCAGCGCAGTGGTCTAGATGTTATGCGTTCACGCATGAGACCAATAGGTCGTGAGGCGGGATCGTGAATGTGCACTGCTAAGGAGTCCCACACTAGAATGGAACGGCTATCCAGTGCTTCCAGGTTTTTCATGGTGATCTAGCATCAATTGACTCATGAAGTCAATTATTAAATTAAAGTAAAATTACTGTTCTAGAAGACAGTCGAAATAAAGAGATGTCATCATGTAATTAATTGAAGTAAAGAATTGAACAAAATTTTTATTGTGTAATACAGGAATATTTGTCACATAGGTATAGAAAGATTAGCAACTGTCTCCTCTGGTACACATAAATCAGGTTTCTGACACCTGATAGCACTGGCTTCAGGAAACTAGAAGACTGGAGCTTGTGTGTTTATTAATTACATTGAAACATTGCACGGTACCGACCTGATATCCTATACCCAAGAGAGTTTTAGTAATTGCGCTGTTTAAAGTAGTTCTCTTTTGTAAGAAGGCTTTTGGAACATGTTCAAAATATCTACGACATGACCTCCTTTTTGTCCGTTCGATTCAACTGCTATGGCAAGTACTCGTAAATTTATAAACACAGTTGTCGATAACATATAAGGGGTGCTTGCCGACCTTTGTTTGTGTTATTGAACATGCTGTTTTATGCAGTATTAATCATTTGACTGACGTGCATATTTTGGCTAATTCATTACTAAACCGCCAGCTGATCGGGCTTGCGACATCATCATCTTCGCAGTTGAGAGTTAACGGTGCTGGTTTTTTCTTGACTGTAGTCACACCCTTCTTTTTTACATTATTTTTCTTCGATTATCAAGGCATCGATAGCGTGAATTATTTGAATTCAGAAGAATTGATATAAAAGAGAGCTGATCAGTGAATAACTATCGAAATGAGTTACATCCATAGCTCATTCGAAAACGTTAGTATTCAGCATTCAAAATACAGTAATCAGCTGGATCTAATCGATTTAGTTGTTAGGATGTGCTTGGATTTAAGACTTTATTAGTTTAAATATATTTTGTTCAATGATCACTTGATGAATTAAAATGTGTGGCAAGACTATAATTTATGGAAGAACCAATCAGATTTACGATAACAGGTCACAACCACCACTCCTAAATTGACGTAATGATCAGGCCTGCCTATCGCGGTGAATCAACCGGGCTATACTGGCTGCTACAATCATTCATCAAGGTCCCTCCGTGTTAGACAGATCGGTTGAAGAACATATGACTAAAAGGAGCAAACACAAGTTTTGAGAGTGAAGTAGTAATGCTGACCGTACGGAGATGTGACGGTAGTAAGGTTTTCCCTTCACACAGCCAGCATGACAGCCATGCTGCACTCCCACAAGGAAGGGTGAGATTAGAATAAGTTGATCCTAATGATGCACACCTCACATTATACCACGGATGTCCGTTAGCTGGGCTATCAGTTCTCAACAAGTACGAATCTAACACAAAATTCACCCACAAAATGGTTGTGTGTGACTGGTATCAAGAAGTTTTCCCTTAAGCACTGCGGTCACGCCCTCACGTCACTAAGACCAACTGTAACCCGATTTCCTGTTCAGATAGCTCTACAAGAGGATAAGATATTTTGGATTTTAGTGAGAGATTCATTTATACATTTGGTTAGAGAGTGTTTCGACATTTTATCTGATGTCAGTTGGTGATGAAATCCACGAAATCTAATTCCTGAACATAACCATCCATTGTAAATCCTAATTGTAATTCATCACACTTATTTTGTAACCTTGAATTAGATTTAGTGAGTCGGTGGACATTCTCAATTTCACCTTAAGTGTCACTCAGAGATCTTCCATAAATTATAATCTCATCACAAGTTGATAATAACTTGAAACACAAAAACAATTATTTATAATTTAATTTAAACAAAACATGTGAGCTTAAATGTGTTGTACTAATTTTCCTCAATGTGAATTTATTTAAATATTTTCTAGTTCAATTTAAAATAGAATTTATATCATCACAAATAATATCAAATGTTTTAATTTTGAATTTTAATAAAAACAAACCAAGATTGAGTCCTGAAATGAACATCAACTCTTGGATGTAGGTACATTTAGCTGACGAGTCTCAAATAGGATGAAACACGCGTCCTGGATTTCAGTGTTTGCTCTTGGTTTAGTTTTTGTTTGATGCTAAACTGTTACCAAGTTTAAACACAACTAACAGCTGTCATTTGCATTATCGTATATTGTAATTATTCATTATGTTACTATTATAGGAAACGTTTTTATTTTAGACAAAAAGACTCAGTAAACACTATAGACAACTCACAAGTTGAGGTTTGTAAGTCATTTTTGTATGTTATTTAATAAGGAATAGTTATTTTAGACAAATCACTATCTTGTAAATTTCGATTTTGTGCGTATCTCAATTAGGTGACTTGAACGCTTCGATAGACCTAACAAGTACAGTTATCGTTTCGAGATTAAAGATCTATTTATGTTATGTTAAGTTTTGTTTTACTCACTTTCAGGTTAATTGCATAACAACATATTCTAGTGTGATATTATTCCAACTTCATTTCATTTAATGTGAAAATTCAAACATAGTTAATAGATAAAATTTAAATAGTTGAAATCATGGGTCAATTGAAGCTAGATCACCATGAAAAACCTGGAGGCATTGGACGGCCATCTCCTCCTAGTATGGGAGTCCTCAGCAGTGCGCATCCACGATCCCGACCCCGTGAGACTCGAACCCAGGACCTATCAGTCACGCACGCGAATGCTTAACCATTAGACCACTGAGCTAGCACCCAGCGGTGTTAATGTCTAACTTCAACCAATCCACGAAATTGAGCCACTGTACACCAATGTCTTCAGTCTACCTTCAATTAACTTATGATTTCAACTATTGAAATTACTAAGATCTCCACAAAACCCCTTCTGATAATAATCATCTGCTCTCTAGTGGACTTCTAGAGGGAAGCCGTGACCAGTGGAGTTCAACCAGGTCTGTTGTGAGATATCAGCTCACTGAAGACAATGTTGTACAGTGGCGCAATTCCGTGGATTGGATGAAGTTAGACATTGACACCGTTGGATGCCGGCTCAGTGGTCTAGAGGCGAAGCGTTCGCGTGCGAGACTGATAGGTCCTGGGTTCGAGTCTCACAGGGTCGGGATCGTGGATGCGCACTGCTGAGGACTCCCATACTAGGAGGAGATGGCCGTCCAATGCCTCCAGGTTTTTCATGGTGATCTAGCTTCAATTGACTCATGGTTTCAACTATTGAAATTATTAAAATCTCCACAAAACCCCTTCTGAAGATAAAGTTTAATTCAGTAAATGTTCAGAATAAACTGAGTTTTTATGTATTAAATATTTATATTATGTCGTAAGTATTTGTTTAATTATTGGTTTTGTATTAACTAATATATCATTTAACTTAATGGTAAAATCTAATTTGAAAGCTTTATTTATCAGACAAACGACCTCATCTTCATATGTTACATAGATTATGACCAAATCAAATACAACTATTATAGACCGATGAAAACAATATGTAAAATCAATAAATAGACGATAACCACTATCCATCTTTGCTTATAATACGTATGAATTAAGGCAATATCGAGGTAATACGCAAATTATGCATATATACCAATAAGAGACTGGTCAATTGCAGTCCTAAACATCAACGGGAAGATTCAAGTAAAAAAAAAATCAAATGAATATAAATTTTAATTATTTAATCTTCTGAGAAATCGGAATTCAGTACTGTGTCGTTTACATAAGTACTCAGGTGGTTATACTTTGGGATCGTTATAACTAAACTATTAGATTATCTTAGATTTTATATTTCATTTATAGCTTGCTTTGTATGATCATGACAATGTTGATGTTACTCAGCGAAATGATGGGTATCTTTTTTACAAACAGATCGATAGGTTAAATAAACAACATTATCCTAAATTTCAAGATTTCTCCTAGTTCTGTAGATGTGTTTTTATTAAGCTATTGATATTGGTGGAGTTTTGTTCTCTGAGTTGGATGGTTTGGTCGTGGAGCTTTCATCGTTCTTCTGAACGACATCATCAGCACAAACTTCAGATAGAAGTGAAGTGTTCGAATTTCTTCATATATGTTTCACAGCTTGTTCTGTGCACCACGATGTTCATTGGTTCTTATTGACCTTATATTTGTCATTGTTTACTTCTTTGTTTTGGCTGTATCTCCCATTGGTTTGATTTTTGTTCCTATATTTGTGCATGATTTTCCTGATTGGTTGGTAAATTAGGTTGATTTCAATATGCTTGTTGATTGCTGATTGACCTGAGTCCCAGGCTTCTAAAAATTCTCTGGTGTTTTTACAGTTTCCTCTGTCTAAGATTTCCACATTTTTCCAACCTCAAAGCTATCTATGTTTTAGTAATTACATCTGTAAAAGAAACTAGGTTACCGCTGAAAAAGCGATGGATATTAATGATTACAGAAGGGGATCACTTACCATTACACCACTTTTTATATCTCTATCTAGATCAGTTTTTACAGCACCAGGGTGTACACTAACAACAGTTATTCCACTGTCCTGAAGTCTATCACCTAATTCAGCAGCATGTATTGCATTGGCTAACTTTGAATCACAATATGCATTTAACTGATTATATTCATTCTCTTTTAACTGTAAATCTGGTTTAATTAAACGACCTTTATAATGTGCCATTGATGAAAGATTAATGATTTTAGATGGAGTTGAACGTTTTATCAAAGGTAATAATAATTCCGTTAGTAGGAATGTTCCAAAATGATTAACACCCATTGTCATTTCAAAACCATCAACAGTTTTCTCATATTTACCAACTGTAAGACCAGCATTGTTAATAAGAAAATGAAGTTCTGGATATGTGACTATTATACGTCTGGCAAATTCTCTGATTGATTGTAGAGAAGCTAAATCAAGTTGTTCAATGATTAACTGAAAGGTGAATTCAAAATTGAATGCAATGATAATGGGTACTATATAATATAAACTAAAATAAAACAGTTTCAATACAATAAAATTGTTTAAGTAATTAATATATTTTAAACAGATTTAAATAATTTTTGTGTTATGACCTTGGCTTTACGATTATCGCGAAATACGATTGCCATTTTAGATACACTGAATAACATGACCAAACTAATGACACACACACACACACAACAGTACGGGCAGCCTCGAGTTCCGATTGGTATTTTTCCCGCCTAGCCTTCTGCTTGTTAAGTTCAGAACGCCAATCTCAGCCTTCGTGATACGAATTATATATTTCATACATACTTGGTTTATATACAAGATCACATCACATCATTAAATAGAAAATAACATTTGTACATGATCAAGCCAAAAAGTGTTCGTGATTGTGATTGTTACTAATAAATTGGGAATATCTCAAGAATAGTAAATAGTATGATAATAATCAGTAGGCCAAATGAAAGCTTATAATGAAAGGAATATGAATATACATATAATATAGTTACTTAATAGTTATACAATAAGAATATTCGTATAATATTAGTCCATAAATAATTACTAACGGTTACCATTTATTTATTCTCGTCCGGATATGCACTTTCCATGTAACATCATTTCGTTCAATGAATAGAAGTTCACAAACCATTTTTTTAAAAGGTGTTATTAGTGCAGTGCACATCAACGACCTTGCACCTGGGACTCGAGCCTAGGACCTTCGGTCTCGCGCGTGAACGCTTAACCTCTAGACCACTGAGCCGGCATCTAACGGTGCCTAGCCTCAACTAATTATTGAAGTTATGAAAAGATTTAATGACCAGTGAAGTTTAATTATCATGTCATTTGTAAAATATGTATCATTAGTATCAGTGAATAATAGCCAATTGACTGAATCAAGAAATGTGAATTATTAGATAATAAGTCAGTCACTGTTAGATTGACACGTTTCCAGTTTGATAGTTGGTAAGGTTTTTTGTGCAACTTATTAAGCTGGATAATTTAACATAACAACTGTTATATCCCAACGAGAATTCTGAGTGATAGCTTTTGAGAATTATTTATGGACCAGTACGATACATATATTTTTACTGTATAATTGTTAAGTAGCTAAACTATGCATATTAATGTTTATTTTGACCCATAGACTTATTATAAGATTTACCGTTCTTGAGTTATATGCAGTATATTAATTACTACCTCCCTCATTCACAGCCACATCTGGCTAATTCTTGTACAAATGTTATTTTCTATTTTATGGTTTGTATAAAAACCTAGTCTGTTTGAAATATATGATTCATATTGCGGAGGCTGGGATTGGTGTTCTGGACTTAACAGGCAAAGCTAGGCAGGAAGAAGGACCGATTAGGACATTAGACTGTTCGTACCGGTTTAGCGTCATTGGTCCGGTCGATAATTGGAGTTATTATTGCATTATATATTAATAAGGCACAACGCCCTTAAGTTATAACACAACTGACCAATGCTCTATGGGTTTCCAAATAAACTCAATCCATAATGTAAACTACCAAAAAGACAAAGTTCACATCTTAAACAACTAATTCTTAGTTTGAAAAAATTAGTAATTCTGTTAGAAGATATTATGCAATCTGTCAATCCCATAATTATAAATTATAATTCATCAATTAAATAAGACCAATCGGAGAAAAATATCTCACACTTTCAATGTTCTGGTAAATTCCACTTGTAGGAACTAACCGCCTTATTGATTTCTTTACACATTAGAAAGTTGTTTTTTTCTAGTGAGTTTGACATACTTACTTACGCCTGTTACTCCACGTGGAGGAACATAGACCACCCACCAGCATTCTCCATCCAACCCTTTTCTGGGAAATTCTTACCAGCTCGTTTCGGTTGTTATTCATTCTTTTCATAACTGCTTCTATTTCCCGACGTAATGTGTTCTTTGGCCTTCCTCTATTCCGCTTCTCTTCACGATTCCAAGTTGGGGCTTGCCTCATGACGCAGTCTGACGATTTGCGTAATGTATGTCCTATCCATTTCCATCGTCTTTCCCTAATTTCCTCTTCAGCTGGAAGCTGGTTTGTTTTCTCCCACGGTAGGCTGTTGCTGATTGTATCCGGTCAATGGATGTTGAGTATCTTTCGTATACAACTATTTATGAATACTTGTACCTTCTTGATGGTGGTTGTTGTAATTCTCCAAGTTTCAGCTCCGTACAGTAGATCTGTCTTGACCCTCGTATTGAAGATTATGACTTTGATATTGGTTGGTCTGTGCATGACCGATCCTTACGAAATCCACACTGTTGATTTCGAAGTTGGGCGTCTACTGCATCTATCATCCAGTTCAGCAAAACTCTGTTGAAGACTTTCCATGGTACTGACAGTAGTATGATGCCACTGTAGTTTTCACATTTGCTGAGATCTCCTTTCTTTGCAATCTTGATGAGGTGTCCTTCTTTCCAGTCCATCGGCACTTGTTCCCCCCCTAAATCTGTGTGTGCTGCCTCGATGTCCGGTGAACTCAATGGAGCTGGTCTATTCATCACTCTGCATCAACTTCATTGACTACGAAATAGCATTTGATAGTGTGGACAGAACAACACTATGGAAGCTTCTTCGATACTATGGTGTGCCTCAGAAGATAGTCAATATCATACAGAATTCATATGATGGATTAAACTACAAAATTGTGCATGGAGGACAGTCGTTCGAAGTGAAGACCGGTGTTAGTCAAGGTTGCTTACTCTCACCCTTTCTCTTTCTACTGGTGATCGACTGGATCATGAAGACGTCAACATCCGAAGGGAAACACGGGATACAGTGGACAAATAGGAGGCAGCTGGACGATCTAGACTTCGCAGATGATCTGATTCTTCTATCGCACACACAACAACAAATGAAGGAGAAGATGACCAGTGTAGCAGCAGCCTCAGTAGCAGTAAGTCTCAATATACACAAAGGGAAAAGCAAGATTCTCCGATACAACACAGCATGCACCAGTCCAATCACAATTGACGGAGAAGATTTGGAAGATGTAAAAACCTTTATATATCTGGGAAGCATCATTGATGAACACGGTGGATCTGATGCAAATGTGAATGCGCGGATTGGAAAAGCAAGAGCAGCATATATACAATTGAAGAACATCTAGAACTCAAAGCAACTGTCAACCAACACCAAGGTCAGGATTTCCAATACAAACGTCAAGACAGTTCTACTGTCTACTGGGGCGGAAACCTGGAGAACTATGAAAGCAACCATCCAAAAAATACGAGTGTTTATTAACAGTTGTCTACACAAAATACTTCGGATCCGTTGGCCAGACACTATGAGCAACAACCTACTGTGGGAGAGAACAAACCAGATCCCAGTGGAGGAAAAAATTAGGAAGAAGCGCTGGAAGTGGATAGAACACACATTGAGGAAAGCACACAACTGTGTCACACGGTAAGCCCTCACATGGGATCTTCAATGGAGGAGAGGAAGTCCAAGGAATACACTACACCGGGAAACGGAGATAGACATAAGAAAAATGAACAAGAATTGGATGGAACTAGAAAAGAAGGGTCAGGACAGAGTGGGTTGGAGAATGCTGGTCAGCGGCCTATGCTCCATTGGGAGTAACAGGCGTAAGTAAGTAAGTAACTACACATTTGTAATTTTGTATTATGTTCGAAAATTTTCTAATACAATCACTAAGCTTGACATTATATTTTAACTATTGATATTCATCTTAAAAGTTAGTGATATGTTGGCTATGAAAATTTCATACTATACTGACAAATTCATAGATGTATAGTAGCTTATGTGAAATTGAGTTTGTTCACGTTTAATTAGTTAATTTCTTTTGTTAACTTAACGAATCGAGTCATTCGTACAATAACAACTTATATTATATCATTTTGTACCTTTATTATTGTTGCGTTTGTATGAATATGTATGCTTGAGCATTGCTTACTGCCTACACATATATAAATTCTGCTAGCTTTAATGTTAGTCGTTTAATTGATTCGATGATTCATTCATTTCACTATGTATATGTAGGTGCATTTTAATCCTGTTCATTGACTCGCCGACTCGCTCATTTGACTCGCGCGGTCACTCGCTTGCCGGCTTGCTTTTTGGCACAATTCTTTCATGCTTGTTTAGTGTACCTATAATTTTGGTTATCTGTATGTGGTACAGTTATAAACGTAATCAACACTTCGTATTCACCTGATTAATACACCGTTCGGACGTTATCTAGTGACGGTTATCAAGACGAATTGTATACGAAGTTTAAGGATTATATTTAACACCGACCACCACAGATGATTCACTGTAACTAGAAAGATCTGAATATTAGTCAGAATGAAAGAAGAAAATATTTGCATGATATCTCGTTACATTCTAATTGTAGTCAGGATTTTCTTAAAAATATATCACATTTCTAATAAAAGTAATGAGTTACAACAAAATATCTAATTAATTACTATGGTAATTAAGCTGGATTTATAGTGAGAACTAATTATACTCTAATCAAAAGGAACATTGCATTAAGTGAGGTGTATTCGAATGAATCAATGTCAATAAAATGTGCAAGTTTAGATTAACAAAATATTGGTAATATTTCTTAATATTCATTAAAGATAATAATAATAATAATCTATTTATGCTGTATTATACTTCTAGTACCTATTAAGTATCGGATAGTAGTCGTCAGTAAGAGTTTGTGGAGAGTGTATTAGTTGATTGAGATAACTAATTTGATCTAAATTAGACTATCATTGAAAACCTGTAAACACTGAATGACCGTTTTGTCCCAGTATGGGACATGTCATCTGTGAGCAATCATGAACCCTCATCTTGAAACAGAAGCTAGGGCATTTTGCATCGTGCGTGAACCTCTAATATCTGGATCATTGAGCTGGCATCAAGTGTTATATATGTCTGATGTGTGGTATTGAAAGTAAAATATGATTAGTTACTGAGCGTGGACAAACAAACACAACCTACGGATTACTAAATATTATAATTTCCATTTCTCACATTGATGTCTACTCCGGACTCACTGAGACTGACTGCTTGTAAAATTCTGTTGAATGAAGTATTATCTAGTTTATACTCTGGTTCTTTATTCTGGGTCGTGAATTCTGGATATGATATGACGTGGTTAGTCTCGTTATCGTATTAACATAGTATACATGAGAGAGAGGAAAATATTCCAGTCATTCGTTAAATCAATGTCTGACTTCATTTGAATCATCCTCAGCTGTTACCTGGGATGAGTAACTGTTTCACACTCGACATGATTGAACTCTACTGGTTACGGCTTCTTACATTTTATCTGTCTATTAAACTTCAACTGAAATAGTCCTGAATGCCGGTTTCACAACTTCAATATTTCAGGGTTATTTTGGATTTTAGATTTGAAAATGACATTTTTATAACAGGACTAACTTGATAGTTTTATGATTACAGAGTGACAAATAACTAACATGAAAGAAAATCTCATTTACGGTTGGATTAGAATGAGAAGCATATTGGTTATTAGTATTAGATCTATCACTTGATTTATCGCATATAGATAGCGAATAATAACATAAACCAATAGCTAAAGCTAGACTACATATTCAGTTTAATTCTGGAAATAATGAACTTACTTGATCACTGTAGATTGGACTCAATGATGAGATCACTTGTTTACACGCTACATCAATGTTCACACTCTGTGGATTATTGGCACCATATTTCTCCAATAAATTATTTTTGGCATCTTCAGCTTTACCTATATTTCGACATGCCATGATGACACGAGCACCACGACGAGCTAATTCACCAGCTGTCACTAATCCGATACCATTGTTCGATCCAGTGACAATGGCTAACTTCCCATCTAATCGTTTTGAAATACAACATGATTTATAACATGTACCAATGGTTTCAGACATTTACCAATATTGTATGTACTAGTTTAAGATAATATGTTAAAATATATATGCATGTATCCATGCTTTGGATCAATTAATTGTAACCTTTAAAATGATTCACATTTAACCAATCAGCGTTTCATAATTTGTTTACTAAAATACGGATTAATGAAAACTGACCGTAACTTTGTTATTACTGATATATAATTAATTTTGGAAATTCCTTTTTGTGTCCGAATTTTATTTCATTTCTGTTACCGATGTTTAAATTGGTGCATATAGCATTATATATTGTTTATTAATAATTGGGTTGATGGGCATTATCATGTACATGTACCATTTCTTGGCTGATAAATTGAATGCCTAGCTAATGCTATTAAGGTATATCTTAGTGAGTAGGTTATGAATTATATATTAAGATACTGATAATTGTCTTTATTTAATGAATTCAGTCTTTCAAAAATAATTGTGAATGGAATTCGGCAAGACTATAATTTATGGAAAAACCAATCAAATTTACAATAACAGGTCACAACCGCCACTTCTATCTTGACGTAGTGATCAGGCCTGCCTGTCTTGGTGAACCAACCGAGCTATACTGACTGCAATAATCGTTCCTCAAGGTACTTCCGTGTTAGACAGGTCGGTTGAAGAACGTATGACTAAGAGGAGCGAACACAAGGTTTGAGGGTGAAGTAGTAATTCTGACTGTACAGAGGTGCGATGTAGTGTCGGTTATTATGTTAAGCGCATGTGCCTAATTCTAGCTTTCGGACAACCCATTTTATTCATTCTACCTGAGTCACATTCTGACCTTGTTGATTATTCGCTTATCAATCTTGACTGTTTTTATATGAGCGTATATGTGTGTGTACATTTCTTATCCCACTACTCATCACATGTCTGTAACTTACTTTTGTGTAACTTTAGTGGGGCCCTTTTATTTGCCGTCATTTTGATCGGACGATGTTCGTTGAAGGGCTCATCAATTTAGTGACCCGTGGATCTGACTCCAATTTTGATCGTATAAATGATTGTTATCGCCTATTCTCGTATATCATCGTCGACTTAAATCGCGTTATCCAATAACGGAATTAAATAAGTCAAATGACGAGAATTGACTTGTGAATACATATATTTTGTATATGAAGCGAATGAAACAGAGCAAAGCAAAATGACACGCAGGGAAGATGGCTGGAAAGCCAACTCCCTCTTTGTCAAGCGTTACTCAATATTTATAGTCAGAGAAAATAAAGCTACAGACATGTGATTAATGGAATAAGAAGGGCACACACATATACGCTCAAATAAAAACAGTCTCGATTGATAAGCGAGTAAATAACAAGGTCAAAGTATGGCTCAAGTAGAATGAATAAAATGGGATGTCCGAAAGCTAGAATAAGGTATATGTGCTTAGCATAATAACTGACACTACATAACTATTAATATTGATTAACGCTTGGTTAAAAGGGGAGTTGGCTTAACCGCCATCTCCACTGCGCGTCGTTTCGCTTCTCTCTATTCCATTCGCTTCATATACAAAATATATGTATTCAAAAGTCCATTCTCGTTATTTGACTTATATAATTTCGTTATTGACTAACGCTATTTAAGTCGATGATTACATACGAGGGTAGGCGATATATACATTTCGACAGCGATCATCCATACGATCTACATGGAGTCAGATCTCAGGCCACTAAAGTGGAGAGCCCTTTCGACAACATCGTTCGATTTAAATGGCGAATAAATAACGGGCCTCCACAAGGAAGGGTGAGATTAGAATAAGTTGATCCTAATGATGCACACCTCACATTATACCACGAATATCCGTTAGCTATGCTATCAGTTCTCAACAAGTACGAATCTAACACAAAATTCACCCACAAAATGGTTGTGTGTGACCGGTATCAAGAAGTTTTCCCTTAGGCACTGCGGTCACGCTCTCACGTCACTAAGACCAACTGTAACCCGATTTCCTGTTCAGGTAGCTCTAGAAGAGGATAAGATATTTTGGATTTTAGTGAGAGATTCATTTATCCATTTGGTCAGAGAGTGTTTCGACATTTTATCTGATGTCAGTTGGTGATGAAATCCACGAAATCTAATTCCTGAACATAACCATCCATTGTAAATCCTAATTGTAATTCATCACACTTATTTTGTAACCTTGGATTAGATTTAGTGAGTCGGTGGACATTTTCAATTTCACCTTAAGTGTCACTCAGAGATCTTCCATAAATTATAATCTCATCACAAGTTGATAATAACTTGAAACACAAAAACAATTATTTATAATTTAATTTAAACAAAACATGTGAGCTTAAATGTGTTGTACTAATTTTCCTCAATGTGAATTTATTTAAATATTTTCTAGTTCAATTTAAAATAGAATTTATATCATCACAAATAATATCAAATGTTTTAATTTTGAATTTTAATAAAAACAAACCAAGATTGAGTCCTGAAATGAACATCAACTCTTGGATGTAGGTACATTTAGCTGACGAGTCTCAAATAGGATGAAACACGCATCCTGGATTTCACTGTTAGCCACCATCCATCTTTGTTTATAATACTTGTAAATTAAGGCTATATTGAGGCATTCCGTATAGGATGCACATATGCCAATAAGAGACTGATCAATTGCAGACCTAAACAACAATGGGAAGATACAAACAAACAACACCAAATGAATTCAATATAGATCAATTAGAATTTACATAGATTATTTCATTTGAGCGTATTCTAAAAGACTAACAATTAAATGGATTGAAATAAACTATTTTCATTTTTGTATAGAAGTATCAAATCAGTAATAGATAAGAATGAACAGGGACTTAATTGATGATAGTATAAGTAATATATGAAATCAATTTTATCCTAATTGTCTATGATGTAATAAGACGAAGATTATCAGAACTAATGTGATGCTATATTAGAGCAATACATTTCGAACAATCTGATCACATATACACTTGTTAAGAACATTTATATATAAAAATAAAGGTCTATTAGACTAGAAATGGAGGATAAGAGGAGACCAGGATAATAAAGAAAATAATGTGAAAACAATTTGAAACCTCATCACTCTGGATAATAAGCAGATATTACCAGGATAGGTTTAAGATGAGAATATTAGCTTACTATCCAGAGTGATGAGGTTACAAATTGTTTTCTTTATTATCCTGGTCTCCTCTTATCCTCCATTTCTAGTCTAGTTGACCTTTTATTTTTTTTATCTATAATTGTTCTTAATAAGTAGATGTGTGATTAGATTGTTCAAAATGTATTACAACACTAATATGTCATCACATAGTTCTGATAATCTTCGTCTTCTTATTACACTATTGAAATTTATCAAAGGGACTAATTGCTTTATGATATATTAATTACATTTTGAGAAGTAACATTAATCTTATGATAATGTAATTTTATATTCAGACAGTAAATTCTTAATTAATTAATATTGGATACCATTCACTTTAACTCAAATAAATCTGACTACTGACCAGCGTGGTTAAAAATCACATAAAAATTAATATGTTCAGATATCCATTTTATTTTAGTTTGGTTGTTAAATAAATTTTTCTTAAAAAGAGGTTTTTGTGGATATTATAGTAATTTCAATGGTTGAGATCATGAGTTAATTGAAGCTAGACCACCATGGAAAACCTAAAAGCACTGGACGGCCGTTTCGTCCTATTGTGAGACTCCTCAGTAGTGCGCATCCACGATCTCGCCCCCCCCCCCGCGAGTTTCGAACCCAGGATCTATGTTCACTTGATATTTTCATTTTCCAACTTTGGATCGTGGGATTCATAAGTTCAAGTGGTCAGTACTAATTATTCGCTATAAAAACAACTCTTAACGTATTTCAGAGGGTAGAAAAAAACAACATCATCTGTATCAGTTTTTATGTTCTTATTTGCATTTTACGAATTGAAGTGATTTTCAGTTTCAAGTATTAATAATGATAAACTAAAAGATCAGCATACAATGAAACAATTTCGTAGTTTTTTAATAGTTGAATTCATGAGTTAATTGAAGATAGATCACTATGAAAAACCTGGAAGCATTGGACGACTGTTTCGTCCTATTGTGGGACTCCTCATCAGTGTGCATTGACGATCCCGCCACGGTATCCTCTCTCTGATTATAATTGCATACTTATTTAAAATATAAGTTATTTATCGTTTTAATCAAATTCATGTGTAAATAATTGTTCAATTACATTGAAAAATACTGATGTTTATTAACTTATATATAGTAATAGATAGGCAAATGAAACTGATCATTGTGAGGTGTTACAAAACTGAGGAAAATTTTAAATTGAGTAAACTTTATGTATACCAAAGCGATTTCAAGACTAAGTCGTTTGGAGTAGGACATTGTAATGTTATGGGAAAAATAAAAATAGTCTAAATTTAAATTATATTACTTTTAAGATTCAATAAAACACAAGATCATTTGGTAATTCAGTTTGATTTTCCTTTAGTATAAAATTATTTGCATTAATTTAGTGTAAATTACGTCTGTTAGCCGAATACCATTAGTAACAATCAACTTTGAGAGAGAACAAACTAGTTTGTAGTTGGAGAGGAAATTAAGAGAAGACGTTGGAAGTGGATAGGACACACATTGAGTAAATCACCAAACAGCATCACGAAATAAGTACTAATTTGATATCGTGAAGGGAAACGGAAAAAAAGAAGATCAAAGAACACATTGTGTCGATGATTGGAAGCAGACATGAAAATGAAATGAACTGGAAAGGATTGTTCAGGACAGAGTTAGATGAAGAATTCTGGTGGGTGTTCTATGCTCTTCCATGAGGGGTAACAAGCGTAATTAATCAATTAAATAATTCAGTAAACTACTTTCAGTGTATAACATATAAGAAGTGTTTTGTTTTAATTTTTCGGTTCTGTATTTTTTTCTATTTCTACCATGAATAATTATTCATTGACTAGTCATCAAAATATCAGTAAAATTTATGTATAATTGAGTGTATTTGTTTTAAATGGTCGTCATGTGT